TTTTTTTTTAATATTTTATATTTATTTCTAGGAGAGAGAGAGAGAGACAGCGTGAGCAGGGGAGGGTCAGAGAGAGAGGGAGTCACAGACTGAAACAGGCTCCAGGCTCTGAGCTGGCAGTCAGCACAGAGCCCGATGCGGGGCTCGAACCGCGAGATCATGACCTAAGCGAAAGTCGGACGCCCAACCGACTAAGCCACCCAGGCGCCCCGTCTCCTCCTTATTTCTAAGGAGGGCATGTTCCCTCGTGTGCGAGCGGACCATTAAACTTGGATATTGTGTGCAGGCCTCCTGGCAGAGCATCCTGTTTGCAGGGATGCTTTGCCCAGGCAGGGAGCCCCGTGTGCCGGCACATCCCCACGTCCCTAACCACGCTTTCTTGTGGTCACTGTCAGGCTCCCACAATACAAAGTAGAAACAAGTACTACAATACATATTTCATCAGAATACTTTCCATGAGGAATGTACTTTAAACCCCAAAGCCTACTTGTCTTTAGAGGGGGTAGTGGTAGGAATGGAAACAGCAAATGAAAACAAAGGGAAAGACAGGCCAGGGAAAGCCCTGCAGTGATTCAGTGATGTTAATATAGCAGGAATTGAAGTGAATGATTTGTAGCCCATTACACTCACACCTAACTATCAAATTGGGTGAGAAAAATTAAAAAAAGGAAGGAAGGAAGAAAGCAAGGAAGGAAGGAAGGAAGGAAGGAAGGAAGGAAGGAAGAAAAGGAGAGAAAGATTGGGCAAAGTGTGAAAGGGGGAGGGGAGAGGAGAAGTGAAAAAATATTTGCATATTGGAATCTCTGCAGAGATTTGTCAATCACATGGCTGAATCTCTGCAGAACTATGGCATGATTGATAACCCCTCAGCCCCCCTTAAGCTGTGATACATCCTGCAGAAGCACTATCAGTTTTCTGGGAATGATGAAAGTTGTAATAAAGCTTTAAGTGCTTTGTAACAAAGAGTTTTCATTGAGTTTGAGTTCTTGCAGAGGTAACTTGTAACACATGTGGTCATGGTCTTCCCTGGGCAACACTGGAGGACTACAACTACTTTTATGAAGGTACCAGGAGAACCAGGTACACACCACCTGTATGTGTCAGCAAGGCCGTGTATGTACAGCAATGATCTTGCTCACCAGGGACTGCTGCTTAGCGTGAGTGTTTGGATGGTCTTAGGAAGGAAGACTTGGATGGGACTTGATGAGGGTCCAGTGGGTTTTCTTATTCCAGAAGTTGATTTGATCCTTGCTGGTACTTGTGACTTTTAGTTGGGGTAAGTTTTTTTTTTTTTTTAAAGCACTACCTGGATATATCAGAACCATGACCTTCATAGAGGGTACGTTTTAATCTTAAGAGTCCCAAAAATAAAGCATGAANTCTCCTTCTCTTTCTCTCTCTCAGAAATAAATAAAATATTTTTTTAAAAAAAATAAGAATAAAAGAAATGTTTGTTTGTTTTACCATACAGCATTTGTGATATATTGAAAGTTCCATTCTGATTAAAGTACCATTATACACGTTAGAAGAACAAACTCTGATTAAAACACTGATGGCACATCTTCTGCATTTGGGACAAATTTGTGGACCATTGAAAACAGAATTATTTATTTTACAGGGACCATCTGGTTTCAGCAGATATTAAGCTTGATTTATTTTGAAGAACATTGCAAAAGGACTGCGAATCTGAACACACTTGATCAAGTCCCCTTCTTCGAGTACCACAGTAAAAAAATAGATTTTGCTGAAAGACCATCTCCTCGTCTCTTTAGTACCCACCTCCCATATTACTTGTTTCCAAGTGGGACGAAGAACAAAAAACCAAAAGTAGGAAATGGACTATGGCTCTTGAAAGATAACTGCTCTTTTTCATTATGTCATTTCCTTTCATTGTATTGACTCTGCAGTCATCCAACTGTCAGCAAATGTGGCATCTGACATACTTTAATTTCAATAGCCATTGTATCCTCAGAGTATTGGATTTTTATCTTGTACCTTTGTTTTCTGATCACCTATGGAATATACCCATTACAAACAAAAGGGTATATATGTGTATATTTAATTCACTTTCTAATGTAAATTATAATATATACACAATTTATTTTATGTATCCTTTCATTTTTTTAAAATTAGCTACATTCATGGGTATACTTATAATCCTAGCTATTTCTTCACTGCTCTGAGGGTCCTCATGGCTTCCTTTTCATACTCCCACTTATTTTGGTTGGGTACCATGCATAGGGGTGTGTCTTGAGGACTAATTGGTAGTTACTAGGCCAATCATGGAGGAAGAGGCATTGCAGAGAAGGGGAAACCCCAAATACAAAGAAGGATGAATGTATACATGACATGGTTAGGAAACTATAAAGTTAAAAAAAATAGCCTTCATCCAAGTGGAAGGTATTGGGTTAAAAATATGACATAATGAAAGCAACACAAATAATGAATACTTCCTTTCTTTGCAGATTATTTATGTATACAGAAACCCTAAGGATGTTGTGTGCTCATATTATTACTTTCTCAAGCATGTGACCTTACAAGTTACAGGTTCCATTGAGGAATTTTTTGAACAATTTCTAGAAGGAAAAGGTAACTATAGTTTTATAAAATAAGTAATAGCTTTGGTGTGGTTAGGTTTAAACTTAGTGAGTTTGGGAGAGGGAAAAAAGAAACTGAAGTAGAGTTGAATGCAGGTGAGTAATGAATGTATTAAGCCAATGGTAGGGTTGTCCTAGATGGCCATGTCCTGCCATTGTTACAGATTATCTTTCCATGGGTTTCCCCTCAGGAGACTGTCAAGATTACAAAGTCATATCAACAAGGAATGTTTACATTTAATCATGAAAAGAATATTTCATAAAAAATGGGGTTTTTGTTCTAGCTCAGTGAGAAGCATCTCAGTTCAGATCACAGGTTTGGAGCTTTGCCCTGCATATTGCAAGTGGCTCCTCCCAGGAGCTTCTATTTGATAAAGTTGTAGTCCACATTCGTTTCTCTCTCTCTCTCTCTCTCTGTCTCTCCTTCTTTTTTCATTATTTTTTTTTCATTTTTATTTTTTAAAGTAATCTATACACCCAGCATGGGGCTCCGATTCACAACCCTGAGATCAAGGGTTGTATACTCTATGAACTGAGCTAACCAGGCCACACCCACATTCTCACCCAAGAAACCACTGTAGCTGGTAGAGCAAGAGCCAGGCCTGCTGAAACAGAGACAATGATCTGGAGTAAGAAAGCTAAGTTTAACATCAAATGCATTGTCCTGAGCTGAAGTGAGTCTTCAGAGAACCCACATGTTCCATGCAGCCAGGAAATAGCTCTATGTGCTTGGGAAGACCAGGAGAAGCCAGAAGAACATGATTCTTTCCTCCATTTTCCTTTTGGTTTTCCAAAGCACACGGTAATTTGATTCTGTGTCTATTTGAGACACATTTTAAGACACTAATATCTCCTTGCATTCATGTAATTGTTTCCTGGTGGAATCTGGATGATTCTCCCATATCAGGTGGTAGGAGAAATCTGGAATCTAGCAGCTCACTTCCTATTCCTTTTTTACTAAAGGTTCCTGTATCTCCTAAGACTGTAGCTTCTTTTCAATGTGTTCAACATATTTACCAAATGATGTTCTGTTCTTCCCACAGTGGTAGGAAGCCTTTGGTTTGACCACATCAAAGGTTGGTATGAGCAAAAAAGCCACTTCAACATTCAGTTCATGATGTATGAGGAGATAAAGAAGGTGAGGAACATGACATGAGTGACTACATTGAAGGTGTAAGCCGGCCTGGCCGAATGAATTGATTGTTCATGCCTAGGACACCCAAGGATGATATCAAATTTGAGAGCTCAGATTGTGTACCAGGAGACATTATTCCTGTATCATTTCTCTGTATCATTTCTGTGCTTCTTTACCAGGTTTTCATTTAAAACTATTCCTGGAGATTTCTTTTCAGAATTTGTGTGTGTGTGAAGAAATATCTGTTTATGTGTGTTATTGTGAATGTGTTTCATTACTTGAGTCAGGTTGTTGGACTCATTTCATGGTATTTCAAATCTACCATCTGCACTATTCATTCTAATCACATTGGAAATGTTATGTGCATCACTCTTGGTTGTACCTCTTGGGAAAGTTTAATCTTATCTTCATTCTGGATGATTAAGCATTGCAAGAAAAATTAAGTGAAAATACCTCTGTATGATTAGGGATAATTTAGGGCCCAGTATGGTCAACTCAAACTGATGTAAAATGGAGGAACTTCTAATACTTAAGACTGAATACCAGAAACAGGCTATCCTTATGCTGAGTGTTGCTTCTAAGCAGTCAAGCATGTCCCAGAATTGTTTGTCTTTGTTTTGTTTCCCATTTGGTGTGGCAAGCATGTCTCCCCACAATGGCAAGAAGACACTTGTAGCCCAAACTCGTGTCCTCTGATGATCGAATGTTAGGCAGAAAGACATGGAACTAGGCAAAGTGGCCTTCTTGCCTTGTTTTGTTTCTGCATATTCTCGAGGGGGAAAGTCACTCTTAGAAACTTCTATTTGACTTCCTCATTCTTTTTGGTTAAAATTTTATTTATTTATTTATTTATTTATTTATTTATTTATTTATTTGAAAAATAGAGTGAGACAGAGTACATAAACTGGAGAGGGACACAGAGAGAGGGAGAGAGAGAATGCCTGGCAGGCTCAACTCAGTCACTGCGCAGCCCATGACCCATTAGATCCTGACTGAGCTGAAATCAAGAGTCAGGCACTTAACTAGGTGAACCAACCAGAAGCCCCTTGACTTCCTCTTTCTGTTTCCATGCCAAAGTTGGGTCATGTGACCAGCGTAAGATAATCTCTTAGAGAGAAAGTAGAATTGCCTGGGGGATGTTGGATCAATCAGGATCATGTCTGGAATAGGGCTGGACACACCTCCAGAACACCACCAAGTGAGCTCTTAACAGGAAAGATGAGAAAGAGCTGAGAGGCAGGCTGTCCTAAAGGCTTCCCCATCATGAGGATTTGTCATTACTCTGTTACACTTGCCCCAAGCCATGATACCAAGCCTAGACTCTCTTGTTGAGTACATATCACCTACAAAGAGAGATTCAATCTCTGGCTGGCCTTGAAACCTTCCTCACAATATGGCCCGACTCTTGTGTCCATCTTCATCTCCCATAGTCTCATTCAAAGCCTGTTCCACTAGCTCTAGGGAAACTGAATTCTGTCCTGTGACCTGATATCTCACACCTTCCATACAACCACACTGTTACAGAGGTTCTTTCATTTCCCTAGACTCCATATCTATAGTTCGTCTATCTAGAAAATTCATGTTTTGCATTAATTTCTAGAACAAATTTCTCATCTTTGTCGAAACATTCTCTGGATTCTGTTACAGAATTACTCGGTCTCAAAGGTCCTTGTTCTGAATTCCCAGCCCTGACTCCCAGTTGTGTCTCTGGTCACTTGTATCATCATGCAGGGCAGTGTTTGACCTATAGTAGCTACTTCTCAAATACCTGCTGAGTTAACACAGATAGAATGAAATGTGATTGTTCCCAAGATGAACAGAAATGTGCTCCACAACAGTGCTCAAGTGGTGGATTAACTTATCAAAAAAGAATAAGCAACTTACATCTCAAGGAACAACTCCACTTTCTCAGCAACCTGAGCACCTACAATTTTCTCTCCCATGATGACATTTAATCTGTGACACTTGTATAAGTCTTCTCTGTGATAACCTGCATAATGTATCATACTGTGATTTATTTCAGGATCTCAGAGGTTCTATACTAAAAGTTTGCAAATTTCTGGGGAATGAATTAAGTGACTAGGACATGGATTCTGTGGTGACACAGGCCATGTTTGAGAACATGAAGTCTGACCCACGAGCAAATTATGACACTATAATGCAGAGTGATGGAGTACCAAAAAAAGGTCATTTCCTTCGGAAAGGTGAGGTTGAAAAGTGAATGTCTGTCTTGTACAATGGTGCAAATGAACCAAATTGCAGCTTCTCAGCTTCCTGACTGACTTTCCTAACAGAGGCTATTATGGCCCACTTCCCTTCTCTAGACAGATCATTTCCCATGATTTCTTCTTGGTGTTTTTCAAGACTATATAATTTTGTGTCTGAATGTATCTGAGGAATACCCAAAAATCAGAAGGCCTTTACCATGGCCCCAAGAAATCTACCAGTGCCAGTACAATGTCTGCACACAAAATGATTGTTCATTTCCTGTTAGACTGTTTTCCCCCATTAGCATGTGCTCAGCATGTGATGATGAGGCAAGGGTGGGGCACTGGAAAATCACTGGCTGCTCTTCCATCTCTTTCATCTCTATGATATATGCCTTAAAACCCTCAGGGCTTAATGAACAACACACATACACTGAACTTTGGTTATTGTGCAGGACTATCACGTGTCTACTAGTACACCTCATAATCATGTTTAGTTTTCTCTCATTTACTAAAGTATCTCTTACCTCTGGTGAGTGGATGACTCCTTCATGTAACTGATAAATGTCAACATGTGAAATATTTTTAATACTGTAAAAAATAATTCTAATTATATTTTTGATCTCCTATTGTAGTACAGGAATATCAATAAAACAGAGGTATATAATACAGAATTTTGTTATTAATCATCAGGTTCTATGCATTTTGGTCAAGTAGTAATAAATATTGGCTTGATTTCTCTTAGTATTTCCTTCACTTGATCTCTTCATTTGTCTTTACCTAGTCAGCTAAAAAACAATGTGAAACACTGGTAACTCAGAGCCAACCTGAAGTGGAGACATTTCCTTCCCATTATGTTCAACACACCCTGTGATGTAGTTGATGCCACAACACTTGTCCACCGCCATAATTATCACTGCACTTGAAATTTGTCTTCTCTTGAAAAAAGAAAATTTTCTGTGTTGTACATCTTTTTTTTTTTAATGTTTTATTTATTTCTAGGAGAGAGAGAGAGAGACAGCGTGAGCAGGGGAGGGTCAGAGACAGAGGGAGTCACAGACTGAAACAGGCTCCAGGCTCTGAGCTGGCAGTCAGCACAGAGCCCGACGCGGGTCTCGAACCCACAAACGTGAGATCACGACCTAAGCGAAAGTCGGACGCTTAACCGACTAAGCCACCCAGGCGCCCCTGTGTTGTACATCTTTAACCTACCTGCAAATGAGAGACAGAAATGGCTAAGAAGACAAGTAGGAGGGGCATATTTCCTTTGGATATGAAGCACACTCCCATGTGTTTCTTCTGCACACACACATATTTGTTTCTTATGCTAGCTAAAGGAACATTATTGGTACTGGCTTTATCACTCCTGCACTGTTTTGTTTATGTTCAGTTGTGTTCGTGTTTCATTATTTTTTCAGTTGTTTATAGTTTAAAGTGTTTTTCCAATCAGTGTTTCTTTTCTTCCCTCTCCTTCTATCACCACTATTTATAGACACGACTCTGTGTCTATAATAAGTTTAATGCAAAACTGCTATAATCCTACACTGAGAACAAATGGAATAATTACATGTGTGTCATCCAAACTGCAGAAGCTTGGGTTATATTTTAAAAACCTCTCTGACCATCTATGTCCTCATCAGTAGATATTTGCACAAGGAAATATGATTTTTTGAATTAAAAAATTTTCAACGATTATTTACTTATTTGAAAGAGAGAGAGTGATAGAGTATGAGCAGGGGTGGGGCAAGAGAGTGAGACACAAAATGCAAAGCAGGCTTCAGGCTCTGAGCTGTCAGCACATAGCCAATGCATGGCTCCAACTCACAAACCAAAAAGACTGAGACCTGAGCCCAAATCGGCCGCTTAAATGACTGAGCCACCTGGGCGCCTGTGTTTTTTGGAATTTTTGAAGGACTTCTGTAAACTAAAAGAGCCCTTGTGAGCATGGAACAAAATAGTAAACAAGTTGTAGGAAGTTCTCCTTTTCCAGGTGGCTGATAGTGCAGGAGTTGGGCTACTCTTCTTGAACTACAACATAATTGCCATGATGAGTTTGTATATCCCCTTGCCAAAACGTGGGAGAGCAAGGACATGGTCATGTGCAGGAGTAACCGGGGCCTGAGTGGGGAGGATGGTGGAAGTGCAAACCACAGTGTTTCTCCCAACAACAAGGCATCGTGCCCCCTCATCCCAGAATCTCCGTTGAGGCAATTTCGTTGCTTTTCCTTCCAGGTGCCATTGGAGACTGGAAAAATCACATGACTGTTGAGCAGAATGAAAGGTTTGACAAGATTTTCCAAAGAGAGATGAAAGATGTTCCCTTGAAGTTCATCTGGGATATGAACGAAGAATAGAATTCTAAGCAACGCCTAACTATTTTAAGAAAGCACTTTCAGAAGGAAATACACTGAATCGAACATTTTCATTTTTGACAGTCATTGGCTAATTATTGAAAAACCTCAGTGATTAATAAATATGAATATGTGCCTGTACATCATTTGTGGTCTAAGGCCTGTTTTCCATTTGCTGGCATTCCTCAGTTTCTGATCAGGAGATCATTCTGCTCTTTATTTTGGCATAGAATTATGAAATAGATGTTATTTTACATTCATAAAATCCAAAGTTCTTGAGCAACAAAAGAGGTCATAACACGTGATCAATTTGGCCTCTGAAAATAAAAGCCTTGTCATATATTAAAAAAAACTAAATGTAGTCTTTCATCATATTGAAGTCTTACTTCTTAGAATCAAATGAGTCAACCTTTCACTTCATGGTTTCTAGATCTTGCACTGAACTTACAGTGTTGCTATCACAAGTATTTTCAAGTGTTACTAAATCCTATCTTTATTTAATCTGAATATCCATCATTTTCTATGTGAGAACTATTTTTTTTCTAAGAGATATCCAATTGGCCCAAGATCCTTTATTAAATAGCCATCAATTTCCCTACAGATTAAAATAGACATTATCTTGTTTCAAAAAAATATATATGTACATTGTGCATATAATTGACTTATGTAAAATATATATCTTTCTGTTCATAAACTTTTCTTTTTCATAACTGTATGCATGCCAGAATATCTTACACAACATAATAAAATGTCTTGAATTGTTTGAATTTTTGCTAAGTTTGACTTTACTCTTAAAGAGTCATTTATTTATTTATTAATATTTATTTATTTATCTATGAGAGCGAGAGAGTGTGCAAGCAGGAGGAGGGGCAGAGAGAGAGGCAGAGAGGCAAACTTTTCATAACTGTCGTAGCTTTGGGTCCTGAGGTGATAGATATCTCTAGAGAAACATTCCATTTTGCCACGTGGGTGCTTATTTCTTCTCTAACAAGGGTTTGTGTGTTGCAGAGTGAAGGAAATCTTGTTATACATATATATATGTAGATCTTATTGATACAAGATATTGACTTTAGATTTACATATGCACTATCTCCTTTGTTATTAACAAACCCCTTATAAGGTTGGTGGTATTTCACAACTAAGAAACAAGAAGTATAGAGAGGAAACAGTTTCCCTTGAGCAAATATTTAGTATTCACACTCTGATTCAAAGCCTGTTTTGTCTGACTCTAGAAATGAAAATCCTTAATACTCTTCTCTTAGCACTTAGTTTGCACTTAAGGATTAAGTTGTTGTTTGAAACAGAATTTTCAGTTTAAGATAACTCAAGTTTGTCTGGTTCATCCCCATTCCACTGAGAGATTGGGTAGTGGGTTTCCTCTTAGTCTTTCAAAATAGAAGTATTTAGCTCTTCCCTTCAGATTGTTTCTACACCTTGGGCATAATGAATAACACAGTATTGAATTCTCATCTTCTAATAAGATCACATCATCTGAGGATATTGGGGTAAGTGGCCAATTAGTCATTATTCCCATATTTGTGTTCTGCACATTTCCCCCTCAACATTTACCAAGATATGATTAACTTTCTTAATATTTGCAGTGTTACATACTCTCTCCCAACAAATCCCTCAACATGACATTAAAAAGTAAGAGTGACACTCAATCACTTTAAGATTTACACGTGTTAATTATGTAAGAGCTAGCCATTTCCAGCTACATATTCAATATGTGCTGAATTCAAGCACCACTTCTTCCCAAGAGTTCTGTCCCTGTATCTAATTGCATAATTTCCCAGCTATATGATCAATGGGGATTCTCATTTTTTACATTAAGCTTTCCAATGAATTGTAATATCCAAAATCCTTGTAAAGATTTCTTCAGCATATTATCATCGACTGAATCCCATAGATTGTGTAATGAAAAAACAAGTTTATTCATAATTATTTTCACGATGAAATTTGAACTCTTCACCTCTGTCTAGTAAATAGGACAGCTCTGGTTGTACTTGTCTTTGTTTCTTAACAAAGCAACATTCTGATCTCTCTTGATTTTTGGTGACTACTTTTGGAAGGAAGTGGCCATTGCATTAATAGACTAGCAAATCAAATTTGACAACATATAAAAAGAATTATTCACCATATTCAGGTGGTATTCATCCCTGGGCTGCAGGTCTGGTTTAATATTTGCAAATCAACTAATGTGATACATCATTAAATAAAAAAAAGGATAAGAACCATTTGATTCTGTCGATCGATGCAGAAAAAGCATATGACAAAATACAACAACTTTTATTAATAAAAAGAAACCTCAAGTAAGTCAGGGTAGAAGGAACATACTTAAACATCATAAAAGCCACATATGAAAAGCTACAGCTAATATCATCCTCAATGGGGAAAAAACTGAGAACTTTCCCCCTGAGATAAGGTACACAAGATGGATGACCACTCTCACTCTGTTGATTAACATACTGTTGGAAGTCCTAGGATCAGCAATCAGACAACAAGATGACATAAAAGGCATCCAAATTGAATAAGAAGAAGTCAAACTTGCACTTTGCACACAAGACATGATATTCTACATGGAAACCTGAAAGACTCCACCAAAAGACTGCTAGCACTGATCCATGAATTCAGCAAAGCTGTAGGGTACAAAATAAATGTACAGAAATTGGTTGCATTTCTGTACACCAATAATGAAGCAACAGAAAGAGAAATCAAGAAACTGATCCCATTTACAATTGTACCAAGAACCATAAAATATCTAGGAATAAACCTAACCAAAATGCAAAAAGACCTGTATGCTGAAAACTATAGAAAGTTTATTAAGGAAATGGAAGGAGATGCAAAGAAGTGGAAAAACATTGCTTGTTCATGGATTGGAAGAATAAATATTGATAAAATGTCAATACTACCCCTAACAATCTACACATTCAATGCAATCCCAATCAAAATTCCACCAGCATTCTTCTCAGAGCTAGAGCAAACAATGCTATACTGTGTGTGGAACCACAAAACACCCTGAATAACCAGAGAAATATTGAAGAAGAAACCAAAATGGGAGGCATCACAGTCCCAGACTTTAGCCTCTACTACAAAGCTATAATCATCAAGACGTTATGGTATTGGCAGAAAAACAGACACAGAGACCAATAGAATAGAATGAGAACCAAGAATTGGACCCACAAATGTATGGCCATCTAATCTTTGACAAAGCAGAAAAGAGTATCCAATCGAAAACATACAGCCTCCTTAGCAAATGGTCAGGGGAGAACTGGACAGCACCATGCAGAAGAAGGAAACTGTACCACTTTCTTAACCCATACACAAAAATAAATTCAAAATGGATGAAAAATCTAAATGTGAGACAGGAAATCATCAAAACCCTAGAGGAGAAAGCAAGCAGCAAACTCTTTGACCTCAGCACAGCAAATTCTTGCTCAATACATCTCCAAAGGCAATGGAGCCAATTGCCTTTGGAATCACGAGAAAAATGAACTATTGGGACCAACTCAAGATAAAAAGTTTCTGTACTGCAAGAGAAAAAACAATCAAGAAAACCAAAAGGCAACCGACAGAATGGGAAAAGATATTTACAGATGACATATCAGATAAAGGGTTAGTAGCAAAATCTATAAAGAACTTAACAAACTACATACCAAAAAAACAAATAATCCAGTGAAGCAATGGGCAGAACACATGAATACACTTCTCCAAAGAGGACATCCAGATGGCCAGAGACACATGAAATGATGCTCACCGTCACTCATCATCAGGCGAATACAAATCAAAGCCACACTGAGATATGACCCCAGCCGGTCAAATCAGGAGACACTAGATGCTGGTGAGGATGTGGAGAAATGGGCATTCTCCTACATTGTTGGTGGGAATGCAAACTGGTGCAGTCGCTCTGGAAAACAGTGTGGAGGAATTTACCCAAGGGATATAGGAGTACTGATGCATAGGGGCAGGTGTATCCCAATGTTTATAGTAATGCTCTCAACAATTGGCAAACTATGGAAAGAGCCTAAATGTCCATCAAGTGATGAATGGATCAACAAGACGTGGTTTATATATACGATAGAATACTACTTGGCAATGAGAAAGCATGAAATCATGCCATTTACAGCAATGTAAATGGAACTGGAAATTATTATGGTGAGTGAAATAAGTCAGTCAGAGAAGGACAGATATGTTTTCACTCATATGTGGATCTGGAGAACCTTAACAGATCATGGGGGAAGGAAAGAGGGAAAAATAATTACAAATAGAGAGGGATAGAGGTAATCTACAAGAGACTCTCAAATACAGAGTATAAGTTGAGGGTGGATGTGGAGGGGGGATAGGAGGAAATGGGTGATCAGCATTGAGGAGGGAACCTATTGTAATGAGCAGTAGGTGTCTCATGTAAGCCAATTTGAAATAAAATTATATTCATAAAAAGAATACAGTCACTGGAAGTTTCCTCTTATTTTTATGAGATTGTTACTAATTCTCCATTACTGTATCCACTTAATGGTTTTACCTTTCTTTAAGGCCTATGAGAGGGAAATATAAGAAAAGGAGCATCTATTAAGAAGTAAATGTTTGTGGGGCACCTGGGTAGCTCTCTTGGTTAAGTGTCCAACTTCAGCTCAGGTCATGATCTCATTGTTAGTTGGTTCAAGTCGCCAGTCGGGTTCTGCTGACAACTCGGAGCCTGGAGCCTGCTTCCGATTCTGTGTTTCAGTCTCTCTCTGCCCCTCTCCCCACTCATGCTCTCTCTCTCTCTCTCTCTCTCAAAAATAAATAAACATAAAAAAAAGAAGTCAAATGTTTGTAAGAGAATGTTGGCTCTCATGTACATTTTTCAGTTAGTGAGAATCATGAGCTGTAGTAGACTCTCCTACATTCTACTCTACCTGTATTTGGGAGTAAAAGACAAGAGGGAAAGTAATTTACCTCCAAATCTTGACCTGATATATGGACCATAGGAGCAATAACCAAAAGTTGTAATGTTCCCGAGCTGCATATCAGATATGCTTTCTCTAAGTGCTTTTTTGACAGCTTTGTTGACAGATTTTTTATATACCATAAAATTACTCCATTTTAGGTATATGACCTCCCAATTCTTAGTAATTTATATTGTGCAACT